TACAATTCCCAGTACCCAAAATTCATGGAAGCAACACAACCTGAAGGTAACTGTTTTGGAGTTGGGAAAGAAGTGGGGAGAAAGCACAGTGGTGCTGAGGCAAAAGTTATATTCAATGACAATGTGATCTACTGGCAATAACGAGAAAAAAAAAAACAACAAACTTCTGAATTATAACCTTGCTTTTCTGATCAGCCTTACTGCATGCCCTCAGGCAGGTCACTTTATTTCTGTGTCTCTGTATCTTCCACTTGAAAATGGAGATGCCTCATATTATAATAAGCAAATAGAGATTTTTTTTTTAATCACTGACAGCACTTAGAAAGGGTTATAACTGCATTACAGAGACCCTCTACCATGAAGAGATTGTAAGTGGATCTGCAAATTTTTGCATGCATTGCTGTTTAAGTACCCAAGTAGACACAGTTAGCCAAGCTCCAGGAAAAATCTTTGCTGATCCTTGTAGCACGACACAAGGAACTCAACCACAGTTTTTCATGCATATGAGAACGGGGGGGAGAAAGACCACCGCTAGACAGCTCTTTGCACCGCAAGAATGGTTCAGACTTGGGTTGCTCTCTGTCCTACAAGGAACGTTTCTTCTCTCCACAGCAGCACTCTTTACTAGGTTATGTTATGTGATGTTATTTACATTGAAAGGCAAACAATCCCGGCAGTCCTGGCTTCCCGATCGATTCAGTCCGAGCTATCTGCTGGAGAACACAGACTGCACACTCAGCACCCGTCCCGAGGATATGAGCACGTGTGGAGGAATGGAACAAACCCAGATTTCCTCCTGACACAGCCAGGACACAGCGAGGCACTGCGGCCAACACCCCAGAGCACCACCATCCTGCAGGGTATATGCAGCTGATACGACAATTACAGGACACTCCTCTGCCTCCGTATCCTTCTAAAGACTGCCACTCTTTAAACACAAAAGACAAAGCAAAAACATGGTTACTTGGGGGGGAAAAAAGGTACAGGGTTTTGAACAGGAAGCGGCATTAAAACTTTTCTACGAACAGCTACAAAGAGGTTTTCCCTTTAAACTGCATTATTTACATTCCAAAGGGAGTTTGCCGTTCAGATGTGGTAAAAAGATCTGACAAATCAGTTTTCCACCAAACTTGAAAAGAGGAGGAGCATGGGAAGATGTGTGTTGTGGAAGGCAGACCAATGTTAATCACGTACACGCATTCAGGAAGGCAGGTTTCCTCCCACATTCACGCATTATACAGGACTCCTGTGTCAAGCGCTTCATGATTTACTAATGACAAGTGCCAGATCGGAGCTGGATATCTTTATCAAAAGACACTGACTGAGACAAGGGAGGGTCTTAAAACAAAAACGTTGCAGATCCCAAAGACAAATTTTCTATGAGGTGTGACTGATGCAGGCGGTTTGGGAGAAGAACCAGTTCCTGGTGTGCCCTCCCCTTCCCTGGACCCAAACCACCCCACGCAGGGCTGCCGGCTGCTCGCTGGATCGCAGAGGGAGGACACGCGTGGTCACACAGCCACGCTGGCCACATCCTGGGGGCACCTGCTGGGAGGGAGGGAAGGAAGGAGGGATCTCTGGTACTTGCTACCTATGGAACTGCAGCCAACCCGATTACTTTTAGCTAAAAGATACATACTTTAGCTCAAGCCACATTACTACTATAAGTCTTCGCTGACCAGACATACTATAACCTGTGCTCAGTGGGAAGGCATCGTATTTTCTGTGTTTGAGCACCATCACCAATGTAGTCCTTCTACCCCTTTAAACGAAGTCAGACGCCCCAGCAACGGCAGCTCTCTGAATAGCTGTAATGCTGCACGCCATCAGGTAAACTGCGAACAAAACCTCCAAAAACTTCACAGCTGCTGCCTCACAGACTTCTAGAGCAGCACCCAAACCCCACTCCAACGGCCACCTTTCTCAGGGGTCCACCAGAACACGTGCTCAGGTAAGTCAGTTTATGAGGAAAAAAAACCGGAGGAAAGCTACACGTACAACCCGCGCACAGTCACCCCCGACTTCATCTAAAACCGCACGAACGGCCCCCAGTTCCGCTTTTCGTTAAGAAAAG